ATTTTGGGCTGAACTGGAATTTTGCAGAAATGTTCCTGCATTGCCATTTTATAGTGAGGAAGTGAAAGAGCTAAAAACAGATTTCAGGAAAGCTCTGTTCCCTTGTCCTTCGGAGTCAGGTCTTTCATAGACCCAATGCCACAAGACTCTCTCAGGTGGTGGATCACTACTCAAAGTTTAGCTTGTGGCATTGCTCAATGCAGGTTGGCATTAGGCTCCACTTATTTTTCAAATCCAGAAATCCTCCTGTATTTTGAGGAGTCTGATGCCAATCAGTCCTACTCATGCCTTACTGGCTGCAAAATTAGAACTCATTGAATTAATCAGGAACAAAAGCTAACATGGGGAACATCTTAACTTCAAAAAAACCCAAATAGCCCTCAAAAAGACCCAGTTCTCAATAAAATCTGACCCACACCAAAAATTAGTCCACTAAAACAAGTAGCAAGATTTGGATCTCGGTGGCTTCAGGGTCTCTTTCCAGAAAACTTTTGCATGTAGCAGAAATTGATTCCAAAAATAATTCATGATGGCTACCATTACTCTGTTATGGACTGACTACATAATATGAGAGAAAATGTTAACATTTCAAAATAATATCACTGCAGCTCAAAAGCACCCATCACCCTTTTCTTTTTTTTCTAATGCACACTATTTCCTCTCCCACAGAAACTAGTTTCTATTTCCCTTAAGTGCTAGAGAGATGGATTATCAGCAGTTGATTTCTTTAGGTCACATAAGAGACAGATGCATTTCAAAGAAATCACTTGTTTTCACAGCTAAGCTATCGCTCAGCTATGTGACAGGCAAGGGGAGTTCTGCAGTGGGGCAGCACTGCCTGACTGGACACTCGGGTTCAGCACAGATGTGGTCAGATTAACTCCAGGGAAGTTTATGCTCAACAGCAAGAGTGCAGCAAAGCTGAAAATTGGCCACACATGGAAGACAACTTGCCTAAGCCAAAACAGAGCACTCAGAAACAAAGTGAGACTGAAATGGAGAATGAGTGAGGGTAAGGCCAGACAAGAGTGACCAAAAAGAAACAAAAAAGAAGTCAGAAGCAAAAGCTTGAAATAATTTTGACCAGCAAGTGGAACTTGGAGTTCGCGGAACTTTTTGTCCTCTTTGCTTTAACTGAACCTGTCCAGTGTTGTAACTAAATTTTTTTCACTTAAACTCTACCAAGTGGTCTCCAGAAAGAATAGAAAACAATGCACAGAAACAGGCTGAATATTAGCAAATATTTGTAAGCATCTTCTGCGCATATAAAATTGGAGTAGCTACTCATCACGAACCTACAAGAAATCTGGAAAAGAGTAGTCAAGAAATCTGGAAAAGATTAGCTGGTGACAGCCAGTTATGCTGCTGTTCCTGCAAGAAGTTTTCCTCTGTTGTTTTACTGTTCAGCATCAACAAAGACAATGCCAACCTTAAGACAAATATGGTTTTGTATCAAATAATGGGATTATTCTAATAAGCCCTAAAACTGTAAGGCTTAAAATACTTTTTGCATTTTCCTGTAATAATAAGAAAAGACAATAGTTATTAAGTGAGGAAGTATTTCAAGCAGCAATTGGCTATCATGCATGACATAGAGAAAAGTATATTTGTAGATAAGGTTTGTGGGAGATGAAAAAAGCAGGTCTGTTACAAATCATCCCATGATGAAACTGAAAGAAATCCAGAAAATCAGGAGTGAAGAAGTTATGTGAAAAGCTTTCTGCTGTGTCAGGACATAACTATTCCTTATAGTACCATGTTAAATCCCACCAGACAGGAAACAAGGATTGTGATCCAATATTCAATATGGATGAATGCATATGGGTTTGAAGCATTGTATTTTTAAAGTTTAAAGTTCAAATAAGCAGCACTTTCATCACTAGAAATATCAAGTCAGAGTATTCAGGACAGTAGAATCATGAAAACTGTAGGGAATCAATATCAAATCCACCTGTGGGACCTAGTCCAACTCTTTCATAAAGCAGAACCACTTACAATAACTAAAGTCAGAGTGAGCAAAGAATTTTTCACTTAGGAAACTCCATGTAGGTCTCTCCCTGGTTTTTCTGTGGTCTGTAGAAGCAGAATGTTGCTCCAGCAATAAAAAGAAATGCTTGCCAGCCCCATGAATCTTACAGTTCCTCTTTTCCCTCTCACTTCAGTTGTACATGTACCTAAGTCTTGTACACAGTTTTTCCCATTATTGAGATTGGGAAATTTGCAGTGGGTTTTACAAGTGAAACCTTAAAGATGAGTAGGCTTGCACTGAAAGAGTGAATCATAGTCAGTGAAATATTCCATTGAGAAAAAAAGGATGCCCTGAAGATCAAAGTTACTCAGAGGAAGAAAGGATTTGTTCACAACATAGGAAAAAAGGCACTGATAATCGTAGTCCCACATTGATATGTCTGCTAATGAATGCAGTAGGCTTTGGTTTTGCAGAGTTTGAGCAGCGCTTATAGGAAGAAAGGAGGATATTGGGGCTTTACATTGTTTTTACACTTTCTAAGACCCTAAACTGGGAGTTTATGTGCCAAATGTTCATCCTTTCTCCAAAGCAGACACTCACAACTCCCAGTCTTCTTTCTACATTTGTACATTTCTACATGTACCTCTTGCATGAATCGTTACACAAGTTTACAAATAGATCTGGCTTAGGGTGAACCAGAGAGGCAGCACTGATTTTTTTTTTTTTTTTTTAGTTTGTCCAGGGATAGGGACCACAAGTAGCAATGCAGAGATTGGGGTTTAGTGATCTGGAGTACTGGAGAGGACTCCCCAGTGTGTTAAGAGCACTATTAATTCAGGATATGAGAACAGCAGAACATAAGGACATCAGCTTATTCCAGGTGGACTGCGTGGCAGGCACACTTTTTCCTCGTTCACAGTATAGTATTCAACCTATTCCTGCTTCACTTTTGACTGTATTTGAGTCCAGTAGCATCAAGACCGCAAAGCAAAGGTTACCACCTCCCCTAGGGTCCAGTGGTCTGGTATGTCTGCAAGCAACAAGTCACCTAAGACTGATCCCATACGACTGGTCTCCTCCACCAAATAAAGTACCTGGACAGCAATTCAAGTATTGTGTGACTTGGAAAGCAATTCATATGCTGTGGGACAGGAGCATCACCTTGATGTAAATGACAAGAATGCTGTTTTTTCTTTACTCAAGACAATATTTATTGCAAGAAGGTGAAGTGCAATGAGACTCAGGAAGTTCCTTTCTACAGGAAGGTTTGACTCAACACCTGTTTCATGCATTGATATGTTGAGCAAATCCCAAAAGTAAAGACAGTAATTTCATTTTAAATGGGGAAAAGACATTCCTTGTCTTGTAAATGAAGTGTCAAAAACCCAATCATAGTTAACAGGTACAAAAAAAGCAAGCCATCCTGTACCCTCACTCTCACAGAACTTTACTGGTGGATTACTTATAATTACCAGCTGCTATAAGTTCAAGACATTGCCCCACTTCTAGCCTGAAGCTACAGAGCTCTGGGAGATGAGATGGGAAATTATTTTTCATGTTGTTTTTTGCCCTTTTGTTGCCCTCCTCTGAGAAGCGTTTCGATGCATCATCCCTCTGACCTCGCCAGCAATGGAACCTCCCACCGAGGACAGTTCCTAACCGAGGGAACGCGACGAGACGCTGAGGGGGCAGAAAGTCAAAACCGAGCAGGTAAGATATGAAAACAAATCCGGCACTGATAACATCTCTTCCTTCCTTCCCTTTGCGCCCTGTTCGGGGGGTAAGAGCAGTCAGTAAACGCCTCTGCCCTGCACAAAGGGCAGTATTCACCTGGTAGCCTGGAGATAAATGTTTCCTGCAGACACATTTGTGTCACTGCCAGCACTCGGGGGACCGGCAGCCTGCTGTGGTTAAAACCAACCCGAGGCTGACAGTCTGTCCTCGCACATCTGTCTGCAGCTGGCTCCCAGCCCTGCGCACTGCAGTTCCCGAGGAAGCTGGGGATGTGTCAGCAGTTATCACCATCATATGCATCATAATCTATTCGTAAGCAAAGTTGCACACGTTATTTATTAAAAAAAAAAAACACACAAAAAACCAAACCAAAACAAAACCCAACCAACCAACCAAAAAAACCCAAAAAAACCCAAAACAAACAAACAAACAAAAAACCCAACAATTTTGAAACATGACAGAAAAAAAAAAAAACCCCAAGAAACACGCAGAAATTGGGATGCTCAGATTAAGTATTTCAACATTGAAATCGCCATCCTGGACAGAATAGAGAGTTATGCTTAATTCTTTTGCTTCATATCCATGGCTGCTTTTATGCAGTGGAGCTTAAGTATGTACAAACAATTCACACCTCTCTCAAACAGCTTGTAATATTCATATTGTGTTTACAACAGCAGCTCTAACCTAATAAATATTTATACATGCCAAGTCACTTAAAATTAGGGTGGTATTCCTGAAATATGGCATTGTGCCTCCTAACAACCTGACTTGCAAAAATTAAACCAAATTAAATAAGTTCTTGCTGCTTCAAATACCCCTTCTTGAGAAAACCACATTGAAGTATTTTCATACAGCTTATCCAAACAAACTTGTCTAAGGTAATGTTTTAGTTTGAAGAGCAACAGGAGACTTGCAAATAGGTTGTTGCATATAGAACTTTATTACTGGGGCATGTTAAAGTACCTTCCCCTTGTATTCTGCTGAGCCCACCTAACCAACTGACAAGTATGAAATTGCAGGACACAGGCATGCAACAAGTGTATTTTGTCAAGAAAAAATGTAAGTATTTGCAGCTCTGTTGATCAAACCAAAAAATACTTCTTACTTGCAAGTACGCATCAGAAAGGGACAAGAATTCAAAGTTCTAGAGAGTTTTGTTGGTGGTTTTTTGTTTGGTAACAGACATACACAGTGACACGTAACAACCCCAAAGCAATTCAGCCTCATTTGGTATAACCTCAGCCATGAGACATTGCTGTCTGTTTTCCTTCTCAAAAAAGACTCACGTCACTGCGCACCGAAAGGGGAACTTCCCGAGTTTGTGATGAAGATACATGATAAAGAGCTCTGCTCACACCAGCTCTAAGGGCTGCCTGCGTCAATAAAAGGCAGCAACAGAGGCAGCAAGCTGTCATTTGGGGCTGGAGGATCATCATGGCCAGGGGTGCTTCATGTTAAAGCCAAGGAAAATGTCTGGATTCTTTTTCTCCCACAACAACATGAATGAATTAAATGGAAAAGAAGATCGCAAGCTTGCAAAAGGCATAATAAAAGTCCATAAAAAGAAGCAAAAGGCTTGGTAAGTATATGCAACTTAGTATAAAACTTAATGTATTAGAAGTGAAAATAACACTCTACTAATCTTGGAGATTAAGAATTAGTGCTGTGGTTCAGGCTAAATGAACAAAACCTGCTCAAAGCCCAGGACTGCAACATAATTTAAAAAAGCTTGAGCTGAGGCATATCAATTAATTGATTATTTTAAGTAATCAGAAATAGAATTTGGATACAGTGGGGGCCTCTCTGTCTTTTTTCAAAAATTACTTGGATATGTAACATCCCAGACTTCAGTCACAGAATGGAACTGTCTCTGAAAGTTTGAAGAAAATTTAAATAGAAATTAAGGCTACTGCAATTCTAATGAATTTTAAAATGTCTGTTCATTGTTTCAGTGGTGCAGATCTCAAAAGTTATTTGAAGTGCGTGATGCCACATATCGAATCTGGGTTCAAGACCTCCAGCTCTAGAAATGTCATGTAAGTACAGAAACAAATCAATTTTTAAAATACAATCATACCTAGATTACTGCATAGTAAATTACTTATTTTCTAAACTACTTCTAGAACAACAAATATTGTAAAAGCATCTAGAATTTCCAAAATACAAGAGAGGTGAACATTAGTAATCAGAAACTACTCATGGAGTTAAGGATTCTTAATTAGTGATTTGTTTGCATCAAACAGTAAGGGAGCAGACACTTCAGTTAAATCCAATTTTATCAGGGGGACATTGTAACTGTTCTCTAAAGTTTTACAAGAAAAAAACGCTTCTTACTTAAATGAGGAGTAGGGGTATTACCATTTGTATTGCAAAAATATGGAAACAGAAGTACAAGTACAAAATAATTTTATCATATTTACAGTAAAAGATTATTTTCCTGGGAATAGAATTCAAGATAACATCATAATTCCATATTTTTTCCATCTCTGATTATTTTTCTTGACGTGGGCTGTCTCCAGGATTTCATATTATGACAAAGCCATAAATGTAGTAAAATACTTGGCATATATTCCTGGAATATAATAATAAATTATAAAATTTGTCTCCTTCAGACATACAAACAAAACCCCATGGTTTCTTCCCTAAAGCCTTTTCTTTTGCTTGTCACCTTAGGCTTTCTGCAGAGGAAGTTATTCAGTGGTCACAGTCTTTGGAAAAGCTCTTGGCCAGCCAAAGTAAGTCTGTTATCTCAGTATGACTTAGTTTTTGCTCTGAGGACAAAGTTTATCTAATCTCACCAGACAGGCAAAGCTGTAGCATTATATAGAGTCAGACACAGGGCCAGTTACACTTCAGTTTTTTGCAGCTCTAGTGTAACTTGGACACTGCTACAGCTTGGCTTCCAAGTTAGGTTTTGGGGTCTTTTTCCATTTTCAGTATAGCAATTAACCCCCAAATAACTCATTTTGATCAGTCTTCAATCCTTGGATAATCAGTTTAATCTGGAATTTTCTCTCCACTTATACCCTAAGACAATTCATTTAGGAAGGACTAGAATCATTGTTATAGGATTGTTACGGGATGCTTTGTTATAAGAGCAGGACCCAGAGTTTAGATCTAAAAACACTGAACATAGTTAGGAAGACTCCCAGCAGCCTTAATATTGAATATCCGTTGCATGTTGAACAAGGGAAGAACAGTGTATTTTGGCAAGATTTTATATCAGATTTCAATACAAATCTTGCTCTTTATTTTCTTTTTCTCCTCCCTGGTCACAAGTATCATACAGTAAATGATTAATTATTTGTGTTGGCTTTAGGTGGTCAAGGTGTCTTTCGGGAGTTCTTGAAGTCAGAGTTCAGCGAGGAAAACATCGAGTTCTGGTTGGCATGTGAGGATTACAAGAAAACCAAGTCTGATCACTTACATGGCAAAGCAGAGAAGATATACGAGGAGTTTGTTCAGTCAGATGCCATTAAGCAGGTATGTATAAAGCCAGCCCGTGCAGAGTTAGAAGGGAGAAGTATGGCTCCACTGAGATGCTCACACACTCACTCAGTGGCATAAGAAGGCACAGACACACTTTCTGGTCTCTTCTTGAATCACAGCTACCTGCAGTGTAGCATTATCAAATCTCACAAACAGTCACAGGCAGCAGGCCATTACTGGGAGAACCCTCAGCAGAACTCAGCAAAGGCCTCAGCACATGATGCTCTTCGCTGAGCCAGCCCAGCTTGAATTGTTGATGGTATTTGGAGATTCTTTGTGTTTGCGAGTGGAAGCACCACAAAACATTTCTTGTCTTTTAAAATATGCTACCCTTTTGGAAAAGTTAAAGTTCTGTATGTTGATCATACCTAAACTGGAGACATTCAACACAGGATTTCTCTTAGTAACTGGAGGTTGTTCCTCAAAGTTGAGCTGTATTAATTCTGACTCCAGAACAAACTACATTTCTATAGTGAACAAAAACTTTTGTGCCTAACTGGGATACAAGTATTTGATTTCCCCCAATTTACAGTTCTGACACTGAGTTGTCATAGAGTTCTAAGGCTGCAAATGCATGCATTGACAAAGAGATAGAAAAGAGAATACATTCAAAGTTAAATTTTAAACCTTGGGGTTTTTTTTCTATTCCAGATCAATATTGACTATCAGATAAGGGAAGCAACAGCCAAAAAGGCTCAAGACCCAACTCACACAAGTTTTGATGAAGCCCAGAAAACAGTGTACATCCTTATGGAAAGAGATTCCTATCCCAGATTTTTAAAATCCAAATCCTACCTGAACCTTTTGAACCAGCTGCAAACCAACACTTCAAACCTATGAAGAGATCCTTCACAGTGGTTGGATCTTGCCAAGGAAAATCCCTGTCTTGGGAGGAGGGGTATGAGGGAGATCCAAATAGCTCCACAGGCAATGGAACATCCTGTGGATCCTGATCTCCACAAGATGCAGGATAAAAGCTGGTGAGGCTATCATAAGGGTGAGAGCAGCACAGGGAGAAAATCCCCTCCTCCACAGAGTCAAGGCAGGATATGGAAACCCAAGGTTTGACCTGCACTATGAATACTGAACTGTGACTTAGATCCCAAAGAACTGCTGATTGTTAGGAAATGCAAGACTTGCAAGCTGAGCATGGGGAAAAGATTATCAAGTTCAGAAGAAAAACTAGGATGACTGACAGTTTTTGGCATAACAAGAAAACGCCAAAACAATGACATCTCTTTTAAAAATCGGTGAAGTGTTAATAGGTATGAATTCCACAATGCTGTTGTGCTATGTAAATATATTCTAAATTGATGTGTCTTAAAATCTATATGGTCTAAATTATATAAGATTTGTATAAGCTGTATTTTTATTAAGTTGGTATTCAACAGGCAGATATGTAGCATCTTTGCTGTTTAATTTATTGAAAAATAATAGGTAACTCTTCATTAAAATACAGTTAAAAATAAAGATTTATAGTGTTTTTGCATCTTATTTGAAGTGATTTTTCCATTGTAGTTACTGACATATTGAAACACACAATTCCTTTCAGTCTCACTGTGCTACTACTTCTCATCTCCGTATTCAAATACTAATTTTACCTTCACCACTTCTCTCTCTTTTTGCCCATTTTACACAACCATAATCTAAGTTACCTGGAGCAGGTGATTACTGACTTACACAGACCCATCCTCACAACCCCCAAAAAATAAAAGTTGTGATTATGGTTGAAATATGTAACTAAGAACAAGAGCACTCCTAAAACTCTAGTGTTGGGGTCCTTGTAACATTAGAGCTTATAAAAAAAATAAGTCAAAGAAGGCCTTGGTTTTATGAGTTCTCATCATGAGACATTGGTATCATGTGGTTGGCAATACAAGATTTTATCTCACCCATGCAAATTTGCAGAATAACATGAGCTTTGTGAGCCCCACTCTGTTCTGTACCAGAGGGAGAAGACGTCACTTCTCGGCCAGAACAGACCATGTTCTTATTGACACTCTTTGGGGACTTTGGACCTCCAGAGGAGAACCAAAATCTGTGTCAGATGCAAAACAACTGGAAGGAACACAGAAAAGTCCCAACCTCCACTATCGCCCATTGTAGTAGCTGGAAGCCATTGGAAATTAGAGCTTCCTTTCAAAGCTAGTAAGTGCAGAAGAAAAGACCCCAGTCTTACAGCATTATTTTTAAGTTATGTGCTCCTGAGAGTCTGACTACAAAACCTAAATGCTCCTGTAATAATTAAACCAGCCTCCAGTTGGCATTCCTACATGAATTAATTTTCCAGGATCACTAGGAATAAATCTAACTACTCTGAAGTAGGAACAACAGTCCCTCCCACACGAGGTGCATCACCATGCTTGCTCAAATACAGTTTACATGGACCAAATGTCTCTGCAGAACTTCAAGCTCACAGAAGATAAAAGAGAACTTTGAAATGTCAGCTACTCTCTAAACAGAAATTGCATTCAAGTAACATTATTCTTTTGACTGTAAATCTCTCAAATTATAATGGACCCGATCTTCCTTTCCTGCCCTCTATGGTTTCACAGTTTTGCTATGCTTTAGCCAAACACCCATATGAAATTTCTGACTAAACTAATATTTCATAGCATGGATAGTTAGGATTTTTATTTATATTTGAATGGCTTATCGCTAGGAGAGGAGACTGTCATAGCAATTGCACCAACTTATATTACACCATTAGGATAGACCAGAGTTTCTGAGGAGAGAAGAACGGACTTTTGACTTTCTTCTACAAGCATCTATCCCTACTTCATAATTTGATAGAGTGAGAGAGCAGAAAGGTATTTTTCTTCTTCAAAAAGAAACTATTTCACTCTGCACAACCAAACAACTTTGGCTATTTTCAAGTCTCTCATCTTATTTACAATACAAACCTGATAGCAACAGCAAAAGTCAACTGCTCAGATTGTTAACTCTAGAGATATTCCAGCCCACTCGAGCAACCCTGACAACATGACCACATTTCACCAAGCGAGTAACAGCAGAAATTCAGGCCTGGTTCTGAGATCCTGGAAGCCCAGGATTTTATGTCTGCTGCTACAGCAGGCCTGTCCAAAGTGGTTGCTTTAACAAGGCTGAGGGATGTGGATGACTCAGAACACACAGATCAAAGGACTCAGATCTTTCTGTCACCCTTGGCTCATGTACAAGGTGGGTGCACTCATCTCCCTCCACTCATGCTCAGGAACAGCCCCAACATCACACATTGGTTTCACAGCTGTGGGTTGGGCCTTTTTCTTAAACTAGATTTCACTTTCCCTCTTTGGAAAAGATATACCATGAGAGAATGGAAATTTGCTATTCCATTCACTGTCTCTAAAAGAAAGAGTTGAATCAGGTTGGCCATCAGCTACAGAGCAGTGCAGGAAAACAGGATGAAGTACATGGAAAGCTTTAAGATTTGACAATGGTGACTCGGATTTTAAGTTTTCTACCTTACTCCTGAAAAAACATTTTCATTGTTTGCTAATGTTCCAGTGGAAAAATCAACCACTATTCCATCTTCAGGTACACTTTTGAAGTGAATTAACTTCTCCCTGTTGCAGTTTTCTTTATGGAAGGATTCAAGAGTCCAGCAGACCCTGAATGTGTATTTAACTTCGAACTCTCAGATTTGGAAAACTTAATTACCCAACACAGATATTTTTAATACTATCATAAATAAGAATATGGTATAGCATAGTATAAATCTCTCCCATATATTGAACAGGTCACTCATGGAAACATTGCATTATTATGAACAGTGAAACGAGAAGGAATTTAAAGTTGAGATCATGATGAACAGTTCAAATTCACCACCACAGACTCCTCAGTGCCACCCATCCCTGCCCACACTGAAGCAACAGGCTTTTCACATGTCACCTTATTTATGGTTGTAAAATGAGTTTGAAAAGCAAAAAATAGATAGTAAACATGAAAAAATTAGATGCTCTCATCTTCCTTTCATAGACATGAGTTGGTTTTATCAGAGTGTGTAATGTCTACAGATGAAGCTTTTTGAAATTAAATCTTTAGTCATTAATCAGAGGCAGAAATCCAAAAACAAGTTCTTGCTTAATATTAATAGGATGATTAAAATTTGACTTGGATGCTCAGAAACAAAGTCAGAGGGGACTTAAGGTTATCTCCTGGCTTTGCTTGTGTAGATAAAACCTCAAAGGTTTTAGTCATTAAAAGGGGATTTAAATCAATCAAGAACCAATGTGCCTAGTTTGAAAACAAACTCATTCCCCCTCATTTCTCAAAACATCTGCAGAAATTACCCTCTTGAAAGACCCCAAAGATGATCAACATTTACATTCTACTAAGCACTTCCCTTCAAGTTCTTCAAGCACCATGCAGCCTAAGCATCACACTGCCTTGAAGCGCTTCTCTAAACTACTTCTGTGACCTGCCCTGTGAAAGTGACATGGCCCCTTTCACTAATGAAGTTAAAAATATCTTGAGTGGAGCATGAAATGCAAAAATGTAAACCTTTCAGGACCGCTCTAGTCTTGTGTTCAGAGAGAGAAAGAAACAGAGCAGATTAGCAATGCTTCTCTTCAAAGTCTGTGACACAGCAAAGTACTAAAGTGTCAGCAACAGATGCCTAGAAACTTGACATCAATGGAGTCACAACAGGTTTGGGGTTTTTTTCCAGGTCACTGTGGACAGAAGGTTTCTGCTATTAGATGGCTAACTTTAAAAATAAAACAAGATAAACACTCTCTGCATAACACTAATAACTCAGTAAACCATGATTTACGGACTACCTATGGAAAAAGTCTGTAATGTATTTACTGTGGTAAATGGTTTGTCAACCATGAAGGTTAAGAAGGCGGCTTTAGATACAGAGAAGTGACTCAATATTGAACAGAATTTGAGCAGCCATGAGTTTGGGAACAAGCTCGTTGTTTATGCCAGTCTAAAGGAAACTGTGAACACACTCTGGGTGTTCAAACAAAGCCCAAAGTCCAGCCAGGAGCTCTCCAGGCACTGGAACAAACATCTGGAGGAAAGGGAGCCCTGGACTAACAGTCAAACATTCTGACTTGGCCCACACTATAATCAATAATTTGACATTGAGCTATGACAATATGAAGAACTGCTATCTTCCAAAGGAGGACACACCTGCAAGGGATGTAAGAAGCTCTGTTCACTGCTGAGCTGTGGTGGAAGTGTGAATGCAGAGTCTCACAGCACGCAGGGCTTTGAATCCAAGCCACAGTACACCTCTGAGAAACCTGACTGAAGGGGTAGGGTGAAAGTTCCGGTAAAAACTACTCTAAGCTTCTCATGGCATGATTTTTCTCTCCTACGGAGATGGCCACAGAATATTAAGCTCACACAATGACATGACAGTTTTCAGAAATAAAAAAAAAAAAGGAACAAAAAGGTCACAGTGTAGAACTGAGGTCAAGTTTCCAGAAGACCTATCTAGACTCCAGTCTGCTCTCACTCAGCAGGACAATTGTTTGTAAGCTCAGTAAACAGTGTTTAAAGAAATGGGTCACAATGTAATATTTGTCCAGCCTTATTGATAAAACCTAAAGCCATGAATATAGAAATTATTCAAATTCCTCAGGCAGCAGGCAATGCCAACTTCTACCCAGAAACAAAAATCACTTCATCATCCCTATATCTGCAGATAACTTATTGGTTGTTTTGACCTACTGTAAAGACTGAAGCTGTGAACACTGTTCCCTGCATCCGTGTGAGCAAAACTTTGTTGCACAGAAAACCTAACTTTTTATGAGGTTATTTTCAAATATATAGCAAGAAAGCATTTTCTCAGTTTTGATACTTCTCAATTTCCCTTATTTTCTTTCTAGAAAGCACATCCAGCTCAACCACTGAATAAACTAAGCAACAATTGATTCCTGTATAGCACATGCCTCCATGATTCTAGGGCTATTCTGTGCCCTACACCTGACAGCACAAGGAATCCAAAGGGAAAAGGCCCCCTTGGAAATTACCCGCAGGTCTCAGAGTCTCACCAAGATTCTTTCATGCTGGAAGGAACCATTTGTAAAGGTGGCACTACAATATCCCCATCCAGAGCCTGCATCTACACTCACCTTCCCCAAGGCCAGGCTGAGCTGATGGACAGGATGGTTCAAACCTTCTCCTTCAGTGTGACACCAGATGACATCTAGTGGAATTCTTATGCAACACTAGGAAGGGTGGGATTTAGGTTAAATGGTGTGATTTTACAGTGCAGCAGCACACCTGGTTAACAACTAAACTATCCACTCTTATGCATTGCAAATATTCTGAAAAGGGAAGTAGATGGGTAACTTTCTGGGTACCAAGCTATACGTGACCATAGCGGAAAGAGCTGACACAGAGAAACATGCTGTTAAATTGTTTTTGAAACCCATTAAGTTTCAAATTTTTCTTTAGCACATGGTCAAGGATACAAAAAAACATGAAATTTGCAACAAATACTCCACCTAAGTACCCTCCACTGTACAAGGCACCAGAGGTTTGCAGAAGTATTTTCTTCAGTTTAATAGTAAAAACAAACTTAGGGAGAAAACCCCAGGATGAGGTTATTTCAATTTTAAGCAGTATTACAGTATTTTTTAAAACCTGTAATACAGAAAAGATAATGTTTGAACACAAAGTCATTGGTTACTGATTCTCAGTCACTGCACAATTATATGATCTTCACAAAGATATGATCTTATATGTGGTCCCCTGAACATCAGCTGATAGGAAAAAAACCTAAATAGTTCATTACTGTTAACTTTAAAGTGGGATTTTAGATTAGTTTTCCTTTAATGCAAATAAAGTTTAGAATAAAAAATTATATATAATTAGGCTTTTGCAAAAGAATGTGCTTAACCCATGTAAGGCTTTTCCAAATATATGTAGATCAAATAGTCAAATACTGGTACAAATAATGAGAGACTATTAACATAATTGGGATTTGCATTCTGTAACTTTTCCAGTCACAGTTATTAATAATATGCTTTTTTCTTATTTTAAATTTAAGGAGCTCTACAAATGAGATTCTTTATAGACATATTTTAATATGTAAAGTTCTGGCCCTCAGATGCTTTAGCATATAACTGCCTGCATATGAAGCATTAGAAGTATGAGGAGGCACGGAACAAACTTGAAGCATCTCACTGTTGTGATTATGTGAACAATCAGCTCAAGTTAATTTGCTCCTGCCCATTCCCATTAGAGAAATGGAATAAAATACTCCAAAATCCTGTGTAAAGTTGCAATGAATATAGAAAAAGATTTAATGAAATAGCAATCAATAGAAAATAGATCAGAGTGATATTTGCCCTTCCTTAAGCACAAGGCCAAGGTCTCATGTAAAGCTGCCCTGCTCTGCCACCAGGCTGTGCTGGAGGTGAGCACACCACACACATTTCCTCCCCAGCAGAACCAGCGCTGTGGGAAAAGGGCTGCACATCTCATACGCAAAGCCCGTGTACCAGTAGGGTGAGCTGCAGTCAAATAAATGAGTGTACTGCATGGTTGGAGGCTCAAACCTCAATTTAAGTTCCAATCCTCCACGGTTCATGCTCTGCCTGGGAGCCTCTGTAAGAGGAAAAAAAGATGAGCTAGAGCAAAAAGGTAAGATTGAAAGGTATCACAGCACCGAGTTGGGCTGTCAGAGGGAGCAGGGACATGACAAACCTTCCTCTCCCAATAGGGTCATTCTGTGCCTTGTAGCCAGTAGCAAATTCCCAGACATCCCAAGTCACAATCACCCCAAGAAGGACAGAAAGCCCTCCAGAAAGATTCCCTGCTGTGGCTAATTTGCAGCAAGCAGCTGAGTCAGCACTTGGTCTCAAAGCCCCAGCATCACTATAAAACTTGTCAGTCAGATCAGTCTTCCACTGACAAACAGCAACTTCGGGGCTATTGCACTGCACGGCTCCTTTCAAACACTTGGCTAGAGAAGAACGAGCAAAACATAGATATGTCCCAATTGAAGATGAAGCCATAACCTGGGCAACCGCTGTAAGAGAAATGACGGAGGACCTCACCAAAGGCCAGGTAGGAGTACATAAAAGCCTGACACTGATGGGTCCAAGCAGAAAAAGGTAGCCCCAGAGCACTCCAAAGTGCTGTCATAATGCTGCCTGTAAGAAGAAAGTTGGTTTCGGTGCAAGGGTACTCGTGCTCTTTGTCTCATTTCAACATGGACTACACATTTCACAGCAAGAACTTTGATAAAGGAATGGAAAACATTGGTCACAGGACTTGGACAATACATGGAAGATTTCAATGAAGTAAAGTACAGCTTCATGTCATTACAGCTGATCAGCAGAGATGTCAAGATAAATTCAGTGTAAACAGGCTCTATCAGTGGCACATTGGAGCCCAAAGGAGCTTTTTGTGATGGAAACCATGGCCAATATTTGCCTGTGATATGTATAAAAGAGGAGTCAGGCGCTATTATGAGCAGCACAGACACGGACAGTGGGTACTAAGACCATCCACACTAAGAGAAAATAATAAAACTAAAAAGAAGGTCAAGAAATTTGGAAAGCTACCCTGGCAAATGCAACTACTAAATGAAGCTTTTAAATTAAAGGAAACAACACAAAAGAAGTTTCTGTAAGTATGAGATTTTGCAGTTTGAAATATTATTGGGGAAATGTAACATAGGTGAAGGAGCACTTGTTTTTTCTCTTGGCATTCTCAGCATTGCAAAGGCATTCATATTAGAAATGTTTCTGATGTATACCCAGCTTTAGCCCTATATAGGTGAATATTCTGTGTAATACTCAGTGCAAAATAATCTGAATAACTGGTGAGGCTGCACCTAAATTGCTGCGTTCAGTTCTGGCCCCTCAGTTTGGGAAGCTTGAGCATGTCCAGAGGAGGGCAACAAGGCTGGTGAGGGGCTGGGAACACAAACCCTGTGAAGAACGTTTGAGGGAGATGGGGGTGTTCAGCCTGGAGAAAAGGACACTCAGAGGTGACCTTATCACCCTCTACTGTCAGAACCCTGGCCTGGTTCAGGGGTTCCGTGTGGTGGTAGTCTCTCCTCCAACCCGTGCTTCCAAAGAAAACTCAGCAGCCTCTTGTTGTTCGGTCTCAAGGCAGTTTATTGCTGGTTATCTAAAAGGTTTTCTTGTCAGGCTGAGGCTGTTTGCTCAGCAGCTCAGGCAGAGGCACACACACACCCTGACATCCTCTCTGTCCCCTGACTTCTTCTTCTCTCCCCGCCCAGGGCTGCTGCTATCTTTTATATGATATATTACGTGTTACATGTTTACAGTTTTTCCCCAATACCTACTACCTATATTAAATGGTGCTCTTCTATTCTAACCCACTCCATAAGTGCCAACATCATCAAGAACATGGAGGCAAGGAAGAAGAAAGAGGAGGAACAGGATCAGCCTACATTCCTCCATCTTCAAACCTCTGACAACACTTGATAACATGATAAAATTTCTTAACAATAACATTGATAGAACACTTAAATAGTTAAAAATAAAAGATTTGAAAACAAACACCCTTTCTCTCATTATACAAAGAAATAACAGACTATAAAACTGATTATTAAACAATGAAATCAATCTCAGAAAACTCAAAATAAATTCCTTTATAACTCTTATATAATGATAAACTTATAATAAAATAGAAAATACTAAAATAAAATCAAGGCAAGTTTTATATGACTTTTATTGTTTTTGAGATACACGCTGGACATATATCAATGTTAATCTCAAATTCTTAACAATTTATTCAGAATTGTCCAGTTTACATTGAGCTGTGATACTTGATCCTGGTCACCCTGAGCTTTCAGAGCAAAAAGAGACTTCTAGTTTCATTCTGCTTTGAGTCAGGCTCAACCTTCAATCTGCTTTCATATTTGGAGAAGCAAAGAAGGAAAATTATTAACATTTCTATTCTTCCCTGAGAGACATCCATTGGATTGCCTGGTTGATTTGCCTTTTTTTTTTTTTTAAGTTCTCATATCTTACAAAATATATTTTTGTCAAATGCTTCAGAAATTACTCATAGATAAAGATCAGATGTACAAAATAAGAATACTTTTAGAACTGATTGCACTGCTATACATATAAATGTATATACATTTTTATTTAAGAAAGCCAGACCTCAGCACAGCAGATTAAAAATTCACATATTTTCCATGTTTAGGAGAATGAGTCCAAATACTTGCTGGCTTTGCAAGATATTCAGCGCAGAAGAAAACGGGATCAGTTCTAAATAAGGATAACAATTTCATGTTCTGCAGTCCATGCAGCTGAGTAGGAGAAACAAACCCCTCAAAATTCACAGTGGAGGTTTTCATTGTAAGCTTAAGATCATGCAAAAGAGGGCAACACCTTCACAGATGCTCCAGCCAAGCACCTTCTGGCAGCCCGTTCCTCAACAGCACATGGATGTACACTGGCATATCCCACTGGAAACTCCCTTAATGTTACACAGGCATGGGCCCAAACTCACCCCTGTATTAAGTCCAGATTTGGACTTGGGAAGAATTAGAAAGCCAAATATTTTGGGTCCATCTTTTAAAGAATTCAGGCTGTTGGCAAAGGCTGAATATTCATGTGTTGCATAAGAGACACAGCCAAGTAGCTCCTGCACGTCCTCAGGTGCCACAGGCTCTGTGGGGGCCAAGCACTGCCAGCAATTTGGGGGATATGTCCCATTGGGATGGTGGAATGCTTCCATCCAAAATGCCTTCTGCTGGTATCAGATCAGACCCAGAACTGATTTATTGAGACACATGCCCCACAGCAGTACTAGGGAGCACCTGATGACCCCTGAAACTGCCATTTGGGTGAAATCAGGAGTAGAAATCCAGACAGTGTTTCCAACTACTGGATGAGAATTTCTGCACCATGATGATGAGGGGAGCCACTAACAGCAGAGGGTGTACAATAAGTGAGAAATAGCTCCCACAGGACACTACAATTTAAGTTTTTGAGTTCCAGCTGTAAAGCCTTAGTTATTTTTGGAGAGGTTTTTTTTTTTTTTTTTTTTTAAGTGTAATATATGTACTTCAGCAAATCCAATCATGTTGCAAATCAGTGCAGCAAGACATTTACTATCAGAACAAGAGCTACTAAAGGGGTATTAATACAGATCACCATGACCTATTTCCTTACCGCCCTTCATATTTTCCTTATTGTTAAAGGAAAGTAAAAAGGTAAAAATGTTTTCCTCTGTGTCAGCTGCCCCATCAGGCAGGCAGGGTTTTTTCTGATTCACAAATTAATGCTAAAGACAAATAATCAGAAATGGAAACAAGATGGCTCTCCTGATGATGTTCAGTGAGACAGACAAGATTGTCACTATATACAAGTGCTATTACTGACAGGTGAAAAATTATCTGCATCAGGAACAGCAAATATGACTCAGAAGTAGTTTTTAAGGAGAAAAAAAATAATTCAAAGAACTAGAGATTCACACTCCCAATAATCACATGCTTTATGAGTTTTTTAGAGAGATAAGGCTAATAGCTCATGAGAAGGAAAAAAAAAACCTTTAGTGCCAAGAGTTACTAGAGAGTTACTGACATCACAGTTCAATAGTGGTAGCATTTCTCTTACTCTTTATTTCTTTGACCATGTCAGACTGATCACAAGCCTGAGGAAATAATTGCCTAGTCACGTACATTTTCAGAGAAAGAGAGAGTTGTATCAAGGTATAAATAAATTAAAAATCATTACCAATTAAAAAAGCTACAGAGCAGATAATGTTCTGCAGCAGAAATATATAAAGCATCATGCAACACTCATATCAAAGCCAATTTTGATTTAAATTTTTAAAAAGCCCTGTGATACTAAATAGCTGTTGAAAAAATTATAGCTGCCATGAAAAGCAAATATTAAATCAGAGGGGACCAATGAGAGGAGATCTCCAAATTTGGCTGATGCATAATGGATAGTACCCACTGGAGTACATCCCCTGTCCTTTCTTTTACTAACATAAGCATAAGAATCTCTTCCAAGTTACCAGCATTGGTGTCCTAAAACTGCAATGCTTGAAAATACATTGGTGTAAATGGAGCTACATGCACTTAAATGGAGATATTGCTCTCCAACATTTGTTTTTCTTTAAATTGCTTAGTCTCTCACCTCACTACTTCCATGCTTTTTCCCAGAATCAGGTATGAGACTCCTACAAGCTTATGAACTTGCTGTTTAAGAATAGCAAACATGAAAGTAAAATCTGATTTTAGCCACTTCCAAGGGCTGTGCAGATTAGTAATAATGTGTCACACTGCATTGTAAACAACTGGTTCTGATAGTAAATAGCTAAGATTGCATTAACCTTTCATTATTTATCTTATGCTTGGAGCTTATATTCAGGTCTCAGATGATAAGTCAACTTTGATGTTAAAGGCCTTGAAATATTACAATAAGGTCTTGTGCCCCAAAGACTTTGCTACTAAATACAAACATCAATATTTCCTGAATTCTATGATGATTCCTGTCTCCAAAGAAGTTGCTGTCTAAAAGGGCAGGACTTTTCTTGTGTTTCTCCTAAGCACAGTTTAAATAAGTGAATGCCATTTCTAGAGGAATTAAATGGATCAGCTTGAAATTGAACTGTATTTGTTACAGCAAGAAAAATATTTGTCTTGGCATGGTAAGCACAAGATCTGGAAGATGCAAGATTGACTTTTAAAGTGTAAGATTCATAAAGCTCATATTTAAATTAGGGGATAGATTGCCAACAGGGTAATTAAGTTTTTTATACTTTGAGCCACGGCTAATCCTGCAATAATGACCTCCTTTTTTCTAAAGGTTGTCTTTGGAGGAAGTGCTACAGTGGTCCCAGTCTTTTGAAAATCTGGTAACAAGCAAATGTAAGTAATTGTGTGCTTGTGTCCCAGATGGATTGCTGAGAAAAGTTCCCACAAAGCAAAATCAGCAACTCATGCTGCATAATATACGCTGCCTTATATGCAACTAATGAAAACCAACTTTGTGACATGCCTAGCACACATCACGCTGGAAATAAACAGCATGCTGCAAATGCTTTCCCAAACTTGCCATTTCTGCAATCATGTGTAATTCCTTTACGGACACATAATGAGGCCATGGTTTGTCTGCCACATCCCCACTTAGAGTACTGAATAGCACCTTATATTATCAGAAAAGTGACAAAGTTCACTTGGGAAATCCCACATACACTAAAGAGACTGTATAATGGCATATCTATTCAGGGGAATGCCATGGAAGGCAGCTCTAATACTCAGGGATAGGAAGAACTGTAAATGCAGCAGGAATTCTGAACTTTCCCACTCCATCCCCCTCTGCTTCATATAGGGCTCAGAGCTCTCCCACATCTCTTGAATGGGCAGCAGTCCAGAACATCACTGCTGAATTACATTTTTAAAAATAGTGATGAAAAAGTCACAGCACAAACCTCTAAAAATCACTCCTGAGGACTGGCACTATTTTTAAACTGCAGAAAAATTACAAAGAGCAAGAAGACTAGCAGGATTTGTAACTCAAAAATTTTGCCATTAAAATCTTAAACAACCTAGTATGTTACAGCACAGGGAGAAACGCCTCAACAGAAAAGTGTTCAAAGAGACAACACCACAGCAGAAGTAGCAGGCACACATGTAATCGCCACCTCTGCCAGATGGCAGGCTGTGCTCAACGTCTTCATAAATTTGAGAGGCCAGAATGCTGCATCAGCAACAAAGTTTGCTTTAAATAAAACACTTCAAGCTTCCAGCAGCAGTCAGAATGATGCCCTTCTTAAAATGCCTCCTTCACTGCACTTAAAACCACTACTCATTGAATTTTAATTAATTTAAAAGCTTTATGACAGCCAAAATGGAAAGGTGGACTCACATAAAAAGCCAGATACTCTAAACCTAGTGGATTTGCAGCTCTTTGGGAAACATGGGCAAAGCATTTGCCTACTTTAGAGTTACGGTGTGATTAGATTTACTAGAGAGCCCTGCACGAGCAGGAAAATGCAAAGTTGAAGTGTAGGGCCAAGACACTACTTTATAAGTGTCCCTATTACCTCCAAAGCACTCTAAAGGTAATGCATGTAGACAGGCAATATAAATTTGGCTTCTGAAATATTTAAAGATGGGCCAATAATCTATACGACCTACTTGAAGACAGAACACAGTGATAAAAACATAGAATTCTGGCTTGCCTGTGACACTTATAAGAAGATAAAATCACAGAGGAAAAAGATTTCCATGGCTAGGAATCTCTTTGCAAGTTACATCCAACCCCAGGCTCCCAATGATGTGACTACAAGATCATGAGCTCTTTATTTTATAGAAATGCCTGAAGTGTCACACAGCAGACCAACAACAAATGCCTAGCTCATCTTGTACCGAAGGGAGTGAAAACTTCTATTCATCTTCCCCCCAAACTCTTTTCCACACAGAATTTTAATATTTGAATCCACATCTCATCTATAGGCAAATTTTTCAACATCCACCAAGAACACAAGGAAAATTCAGTTAAAAAATCAGTTATGAACCAAATTCATGGATCTGCTATCATATTTTTTTTCTTTTTAACATCACATCCTGAGACTATTAACATCACTTCACAATACTTAGGATTATCTCATTGCTACATATATCTATCTGTATATCTGTATCTCAATCTGGCCTTTGCAAGAGTAAATATAACTGAGTAAAGCAAAAACTCTACCCAGTGCTGACCCCTTTTCAAAATGGGTGATAAGAAAGATTCCAACACACTTTTTTTTTTTTTTCTTTTTTTGGTTAAGGAAAACAGCAAATTTGTATGTAAAGTATCCGATTTTTTCCCCTGACAAATGGCTATAGAAAAAAGTCATTCCTGCTCAGCCAGACATACTCTATGACCTTTAAGCATTCCTGCTTAGTACTCTTCTTGCAAAACCAAGCCAACACCAGCTTTAACTACCACTGCCTCCGGCAAGCTGACATAACTAAATAATCATGCTACATTATTTTCTGGTTTATGTGTAACAATGAAATTATTATAGAGTCTCAAAATTCAGCCTCCCTGCTGGCACTGGAGGAGAAGCTAAATCCAAATCGGTTGGATTTCCAAATGTTGGCTGAGAGCAGTTGCTGCTTTAAATGACTAACTATTCTCTCTAATCCAAAGCTTGAGGAAATTTTAAAACTCCCTCTGTTAGTTTTAAATGCCAATTGGCATAATAATGCATTCTTGTCCTTTTTTTCCTCGGTTTTTGTTTTTTGTTTTTTTAGTATATGCAGCTATAGGGAACTGAGCAACACATTTGCACTTACAAAAGGGAAATGTCAATATTGCCAACCACAAATTCATTAATCAAATGTAAGGGCTTACATCAGGACAGTTATAAATAAGCTGTGCATTTTTTTCTAAATTAGTGTGTATTTGAATCTTTCTATTGGCTGTCTGGTTTCTAGAGCTTCAGGACAGCCCAATTTCACATTTTCTTGATACTCACCATTAACATAAGAACCATGTACTACTCTAAAAAGGATATGAAACACAATTTATATTCAAATTACAGCAGCATTTAAAAAGGGGCCACTCAAATTACTCCTCTGGGGGAGGAAGATCTCAACCCATGAAAGACATCAGCACCAGGCACATCTTTAGAAGTCTCCTCTCCACACTAACACACAAGGTCAAGCTGAACACAACCAATGAACTCATCATAAGCTGATGGCTTTTCAAAGGGTTTCTTTTATCTGGTGTTTTTGCTGACCACCAGACCTTTCTGCTGTTTCATACCTGCAGAGCTTCAGTTTATCTGCTACAAACCATGAATTGCAGCAAGAAAACTCTAGGAATGAAAACTTTTCCTAAACAAGGTTGATATATAGGCTCAGTTTTATCTCAGGCCATAACACTTTTAGCCGTTTTTTCCCCACTGGTACTGTGCACCTCTGGGCACTTGTACTCATCAGGGTTTTTCTAGAACCTGATTGTAGCTCTAGGAACAATTCTTAGCAGAGAAAAGCAGGGTTGGATACTAGCTACTCCTTCCACTGCAGCCACTCCATCCAAACCGTGTTGACAGGACAACTCCTGCCTGAATCGTCCCTGTTCTCTTATTCTTCCTAGAAGTAGTGAGCAAACCAAACTCAACTGGCCAGACTCCCTCACATTTGGAGCCTTCCATATTCTGCACACAGGCCCAGCAACACAGACTTCACTGCTGCTCTTGACCTCCACTAATCACAGTAGTCAGGACTGAGATGGCTTTCCCATTTATGTTTCAGATAAACATTGACAGTCCTGCAAGGAAAGCAATTATAAGGAATATTCAAGAGCCAACACAGTCCTGCTTTGATGAAGCACAGAGAATAATCTACAAGCACATGGATAGAAATTCCTACCCACGATTTCTTGAATCACAGATCTATCAAAAGCTCAAACACAGTCTTCAAACTAATGACAACAATTCAATGGGAAATTGAAGAGAATGGTTGAAAATGTAAAAAGGTTTATTCTGGCACACAAGTGTTTAAGATTTAAAGAAGAGAGCAGAAATCAGGCAACAGATAAATACTATTATTAAACTGTTTAACTGTCCTGTTGATGTTAGAATTCACAATGCACTATCTTCCCTCTCCCCAAGGAAGACTTCTTGTTTTGTTTTTCTCTCCCCACAATAAAACCCTAAAAACTAGGGTTTAAGGAAAACTAAAAGTATTTTTTAAAAAGCATTTTGCTGTTGGGAAATAAATGTTTATTTGACTATGCAATACAGGAGGAAAAAAAACATCTGCATTGCTGCATTTGCTGTTGCTTTAGTTTTACAGTCTTTCCAAGTAAAAAGCTGTTTGCCTAAACTATGGAGTATAGTATTCATGTGTATTCATTGGTGTAGGGTCAAGTTTATGCGGATTATCATGTAAAATATGTGCTATGAAGGCACTTCATCTACAGTGTACTAAAATATTACCAGTATCTTCTGCATTTTTCTTCAGAGATAAAATGCATTGGTATTTTGGCTTGTTTTTCTGAGTATGCACACACAAACACATTATTTCTCTTCAGACTCCCTGAGAATTAGATACAAGAAAGCCTGACCCTTGAACATCCTCCTGCAACACAGACAGGTCCCTCTCATCCATAATCTGTCAAAGACAACTTGTTGATTTGTTAATCAATTATTACAGTACCCTGGTTTACATCAGTAACTAATCTGATAATCTCAAACCTCATTAAAATTGGACTCTAAGCAGCACTATTACTGTGGTGCACAGCACAGGCTACTCCTGCAGAGAGACAGTGATTTACTGATGACAGATAAGTATACTGATCAATAAATATCAAATATAAAATATGATGTCCAGCTTTGTGGGAGGTTATATTGGTAAACTGTAATTATGTGTGGGCCCTAATGACAACGTGGCAATGACAATGAGTGAGGGAACTGGATATGTTCAACTTACCAAGTTATCAAGTTATTTAAGACCTCAAAAATTCTTCTCATCCATCATTTTTTATTGAAATCTTAAGCTAGGATTCATGTATACGTCCATAGCAGAATACAAAGCAAGTCTGAGCATAACCTCCAACAGAACAGAAAGTTTTAAGAGAATTCAGTGTTATAAGAAAAGGGAGTGCTACTATAACAGATGATCCTTTCCTTTTGCAGTGACCCCATATAAAGGGATTAATCACAAATATGTGATTATACAGCTCATAAAACCAGTCAGCAAGAAAAGATTCCCCAGGAAATCCAGCTAGGGATAGCATAGTTTTGCTGCTGTTAATTCCTGATGGGTGTACAGAGTATTGGACTTCAGTTTGATTAGGCCTGCAAGATGCCACAGCAAAAAAGAAATTATAGGATCTCTTAAAAAAAGCAATTCTTTCAGGGAAGCAAATCTGTGACAAAAGCCAGCCTGAGCAGAAGTCAAAAAAACTCTACAAAAGACACACAATAAATAAATCAAGGATCACATTAGGAAAGGCTTCCCATTTCTGTTTGACTTAGCAATTGAGAAGACCTTGATATCTGCGTCTAAGTGGAAGAGCCTTGTGGTGACCAAGAATAACAACTTTGCATACCCAAATAGGTCCAGCATGCGCAGCCTTCCAAAGGGGTCACTCAAAGGGCTGCTCAGGTCCTAGGCTGATAGAGAGACCCTTCCTCCCTGCAGAAAGGAGGTTATCCAGAAGGAGGAAAAAAAACCTACCCACAGAAAATACTGAAGGAAATCACAGAGGGACTCACAAGCACGTTTTTATGGCACAAAATGTTTAGTGAGTATTTTACAGATCACAAGTCTACCAACCCTTATTCTTGGTGGGCTTATTAATTTTATATTTCCTTCTATAAAGAAATAAAATCTTGGGTTTTGGGGCTTGGTTTCCTCTCCCCCATGTCTATTCCACATTCTCCAGTTGGAGAAAAAAAGAGGTTTCTTTTCGCAAAAGAATTGTTGTTAATTGCTAGAGATCTTTTTCTTGCTTGACTTTTCTTTTGGATTACCAGACACAGGGCAATAACACAATATTTCATCAGGTCATATGATTTATAAAACAGTAACTAGTGGCAGCTGCAGTAACAAAACACTTCTTTTGTCATTTTCATTAACAGCACTTGAATGAGCTCGGGTATACTTTTCCACTGGCAGACAAACCTAAAAGACATTTTTTCACCTTAATCATTCAAAGCTACTGTTAAAAAAGATAAAAAACTTGTAAATAGCTAAATTGGCAGAATTCTCCTTCTCTCATTTATTTAAGAATGAAAAAAAAAATTCAAAGGAATGATTCTTCAAATATTAAGTTTGGCAAGATTCAAATGCAGATTAATAAAACCACTACAGCAATTAAATGTATTCAGCCCTGGAAACTGTTGACCTATGGAGGCTCCTTTAAAAAAAACATAAAAAACAGCCCATACTGGACAGATTGTCCAGGGCTTTTTTGGGTTTTGTTTTCAAAAAAGCTGACAATTGGATCTCTTTTCCTTTGTAAATATAAGCTACACTGGCGTACTTTTAATAACAGCTGTGAAATTTATACTCTATCATTATACTGTTATTTCCATTAATTTTACATCAACTCTTTATGTATATATGGTTAAGTATAGAATTAAAAATGGAGATTGTAGATCAGGTCTATAAAACAAAGTAAAAATCTGCTTATCATTAGAGTCACTCAAAATAAAAATTTAGAAATAACCTAGCCTATTTTTTTTTTTTGTACAGATGGGTAATAAATGAGAACACAAAATGTCTCTCCACTGTGCATTCCAATGATTTCAGAGAACAAGTTGTCGGGAGGCTTTTCTCTCAAGTTCTCCTCATTATTTTTGTACTTCCATACTAACCCTACTTTTGTACTTCCAGATATTCTGTCTTTCAACTCCCAAGAAATGAAAGTTAGGCAGTCTCATTTTAAGTGCAGCAATGAGCAATTACACAGAACTTGGTACAGTAGACAAGTGAACAAATTGCAAACAGAGATGCTTATCACCAATTAAAGGCCAGATGAGGATGTCTGGGAACTTAGATCATCACAGGAAAAGGAAATGACTACAGCATTTCCAAGTATTACCAAATGTACAGTACTGTTGCAATCACAGGGCCCTTCAGAAACTGATGTTTGATCTACTGTTCACTAAACAGAGAGCAATGGAAGAAGTCCTCCAAAAAGAACATTTTGCTGCATGTGCTGATGGCTACAGAATATAGATGGTTTTGGGCAAAGACTGCATCCTGACACAGGTTTACCTACAATCTCCTACAATGCAGCCTCACAGAGGTGGTCCTCTCAGTAGAATTACCCATTTAATTTATGTCAGTAGTTTTAAGAAGCTTTGCTATTATAATCTTAAATCTCAAATTTTAAAAAGGCTTTAGAAAATTGAAACTTAAAAATTCAAATTTAAAATAGCAGACCCAAATCAGGGTCTGAATAAGAATATACAAAAGATTCTGTTTTTTAATCAAAAAGGAAAAAATGGGTGAAACAAAGAAAGATAAAAAGATGCAAGAGGAGCAAACTATGTATTGAGGAAGCAAATAATGCAGTCCAACACTCTTTGATATACTACACATCATATGTACACAGATTTTAAGAACTGTGAATTCTCATTACACTTGAAACGAGATTTCAGCCACTTGCAGCCAAATTATGCAATGGGTTCTTCAGAAAGGAATGCAAATTATTAAGAGCAAAATCATGCCATGTTCTGGATCCCAGGCAGTGCCTTTCTGTTGACTTTCACGTGTCTGCATGTCCTTCTGAGAGCTGTGACATGGACTGGGATGTTGTGAAGTGTTCTGCAGCTGCTCAGGATTATGAGCACACACCTTGTGCCTTGGCTGAGCTGCATGAACCCTTCATAGTGTGTGAATCCTTTGGGATGTGTGGGGCTTCTCCCGGGACCAGGATATCTGCCACAGGTCACTGGACATCCCATCCATGCCCTGCTGGTAAGTGGATGCCACAAGGGATTCTAGAGCATCTGTGTAGGACCAGAGGCCTGTGCTTACACAACTGAAGCAAGCCTGCTTCTTAAATCTACCGGCTGAAGATTTCACATTTGCCAGCCTTTACTCACCACTGATATTTTACAACAGCCTTTCAATAAATGGTTCATCTATAAACTTCTTTTTCTCTCCAGAACTGCCATGACAATTATCTCAAGATTCCTGTACCTCAGATTTCGCTCAACTCAAAATAGGACACAACTATGTGGAGACTGGACTCCTCACTGCAAGGACATGCACCTCACAAAACTGGGAAATGGGGTAGGTCCACATTATGGAGATCACACAAAGAGGGGGTTTCAACCATGGCAAACCTCCACCAATGAGCCCTCCTTCCCAGCTACAGCTCTCCAATGCCATGTCCTCTCTCTGGATGTCTGCATTAGGCGCACAGACCTGAGGGTAAGGGGGAAATCCCGAGGCTTTACATGAGGCCAGGAACAAGGCTGCAGTTCGACAATCCCACCCTCCTGTAAGTTGCGGGACCCCACAGATCCATAACCTGTACTTCTCAGTAGGAATCGACTCAGAAGCCAAACCCTAAAAGCGGGTATCAAAGACTTGATGTGATCATTGCAAACTGCCCAGCTGCCAAGAGCATCAGCTCTGCCAGGCTGGTGCCAGGCCTGAGGCACAACACCAAACCCCAGCTGGAGATTGCATTTCTCCTTGCTGGCATTCCTGGTGCTCGTGAAATGCAAACTGCCCCTGCATCTGCTAGCTCCTGAAGGAATGTGGTATGGCATTCAGCTCCTCATAGAATTAGTTTACTACCCCTGTCTTGTATCCTGGCTTGCCTGAATCTCAAGTCTCAGGCTACTGCATCAAAATTTGCCCAGAACATCCATCACAAGGGTTGTCACTACACACAGCACCAGCCATAGCAAATAGCTTTTCCTCCCACACCACTCACATGCAAGTATTGATTCCAGTAATCACCTCAGAAACAAACAGGTGAGTAAACAAGAACAAGATTTCTCAACCCCCCAAAGAAATTCTTACATACTCAATTATTTCATGGAGTTATTTCCTTCCTGACATGATCTACTTTGCCTTTGAAAATAAAAAGGGAACAGGGCTGTAACTTTACCTACATAAATTTCAAGGAAAGAACTCCCAAAATTTGTAAAAGCAGTTTTCAG